ACAAGCATATGAAAAGATGCTCCACATTGCTAATCATCAGGGAAATGCAAATTAAAACCACCATGAGATATCACCTCACACCAGTTAGGATGGCTAGCATAAAAAAGACTAAGAACAACAAATGCTAGCGAGGATGCAGAGAAAGGGGAACCTTCCTACACTGCTGGTGGGAATGTTAACTAGTTCAACCATTATGGAAAGCAATGTGGAGGTTCCTCAAAAAACTAAAAGTAGAAATACCATTTGACCTGGGATTTCCACTCCTAGGATATCACCCACAGAATACAAGTTCTCAGATTCAAAAAGACACATGCACCCCTATGTTTACAATAGCCAAGATATGGAAGCAACCTAAGGGTCCATCAGTAGATGAATGGATAAAGAATAGGTGGTACACATCCACAATGGAATACTATTCAGCCATAAGAAAGAAACAAATCCTACTATTTGCAATAACATCAATGGAGCTGGAGGGTATTATGCTCAGTGAAATAAGCCAAGTGGAGAAAGACAAGTACCAAATGATTTCCCTCACTTGTGGAGTATACCAACAAGCAAAATTGAAGGAACAAAATAGCAACAGACTCACAGACTCCAAGAAGGGGCAGGTGGTTACCAAAGGGGAGGGTGGGTGGCAAGGGAGAGAGAGGGGATTGAGGGGTATTATGATTAGTACATATGGTATTGGGGGGATCATGGGGAAGACAGTGTAGCACAGAGAAGACAAATAGTGACTTTGTGGCATCTTACTACACCGATGGACAGTGACTTCAATGTGGTATTGGGGGCAGTTGGTAATATGGTTGAATGTAGTAACCACATGTTTTTCATGTGAAACCTTCATAAGAGTGTATATCAATGATACCTTAATAAAAAAATGTCTGTACTCTTTTAAAACCCCACAAGCAATGTATAAGGGTTCTAATTTCTCGACATTTTTGTCAACACTTGCTATTGTCTTTCTTTTTTATTATAGCCATCCTATGGGTGTCTCATGTATGTCACTGTGAATTTTGTTTAACATTTCTCTAACGACTGATGTTGACTGTTTTTTCATGTGCTGGGTGATTGTGTATCTTCTGTGGAGAAATGTCTGTTCAAATTATTTGTGCATTTAAAAAATTGGGTTGCCTTTATTCTTTAACTGTAAGACTTTAAGATATCTTTAAATCTTTATATCAAATTCCTTGATTAAATATATGATTTATTTACATAGTTTCTCATTCTCCAGTTTGTCTCTTCCTCTTTTTCAGGGTGTCCATTGAAGCAGAAAGTTTCTGGTTCTGATGAAATCCAATTCACCTGTTTTTTCCTTTTGTCATTTGTGCTTTTGGTTTCACATCTAAGAAACCATTGCCTAATCTGTAAGCACTGAAATTTTCCCCTAATTTCTTCTAAGGGTTTGATAGCTTTAGATCTTATATTTGATCCATTTTGAGTTAGTTTTTGTATATGTTGTGATGTAGGGGGTCCAGCTTCATTCTTTCATATGTAGATATCCAAGTGTCCTAGAACCATTTGTTGAAAAGACTATTGATTCTCCCACTGAATTTTCTTGGCACCTTTTCAGAGTCAATTGATTGTGAATATAGATCTATTTTTGGATTCTCAATTTTAGTCCATTGATTTATATGTTTATCTTCATGCCAGTACCGCAATGGTCTGATAATTATAGCTTTGTAGTACGTTTTGAATTGGAAAGCTTGTGTCCTCTAGCTTTCTTTTTCAAGATTGTTTTCATACTAGGTTTATACAGGAATGATTATTTAGTTAGTGAATAGGATGAATGTTTGCATTATTAAAGATTTTATTTTGTGGGGAGGGGAAGAGTTTGGGAATTTTGTTGTTTTTAAAGGTATGTTGCTAAGAGATGATGGGATTTAGATATATGTGTTAGGCTGGAGGAAGGAAAAACAAGGACATGCAAACAGAACAGAGAGATGCCAGAGGAGGAGAACAGACCAGACCCCAAGGTCCATGCCTTATATGGAAAGGGGACAGCTCTTCCTGAATTCCATCCTTCTGATGTGCCAACTAAGACTGGATGTCAGCCTCCTCCCTCTTGGGAGGAAAAAAAGTTTCTAGTTGTCTATTATGTCACCTTTCACCAATCATACCTCTCCACACCCGCTAGGATAGTTTGCCCACTCCTCCCCCTCCTAATCCCTTATAAGCCTCCACCTCCCTGACTGGGTGTGACTTCCCCGGCCTGTAGTACCTAGACCGCAGAACATCACCCGGGAGTGGCATTCAAATAAACTACCTGGCCCTTTGTTGCCTCTTTTCGCCTGCTTATTTGGGCTAAAATTTATCTTACAATATGTACTTTCAAAACACATGCCACAACTGGTCCTATATAAAGTTGCTACGCTTTTGGTGACTAGGTTTCTGATGCCTGGGCCGCATGACAGGATCTGCTTCTGAATCCACTGTAATTGGCACCATAGCAGGAGCATACTTCATTCTCAACAAATATTCATTGATTAAATGCCTTGTCCTTTTAGTTTAGCTTTGTTTTAACCTATTTGTTGTCTTTTTGCTACCTTTTGCTTGATAGCTGCTGAAATTTCCTGTTTTTCTAGACTACTCAATACTTATGCAATTGTGCTTTAGAATCCTATTTTCTTAAACTACTGCCAGTTTTCTTCACAGCACCAAAATATGCTGCACAGATGATTTTCCAGACTGGAATCATTAGGAATTCTTCTCAGATGTAGTATCAATGAATCAGATTTGCCTCTCTCTTTATCACCCTAATCTTTTTGCTATCACTTGCAAGGCCTTGCCTTCTTGGTAGACACCAAGGGCAGAAAACACCTCCCATTTCCAAGGCTGGCAATCGTTCCTGCTTTGAGTTTCCTGAACTATCATTTCCTCCAGAAAGACTTTCCAGATTGACACGAGGGAAACTGATTCTCATAGTGAGGATGCAGTCTTGCAAAGGCCACCCCACCCCCACAAACTAAAAGAATATTTTATGTATGTTAAAGTTTTGAATCTTCACATCTTTGTTTATAACTGTTTGTTCCTAGTTATTATCTATCAGACCTGGCCGGTTCTCTGTGTACTCTGTGTTATTTTTTTTCCCCGGTGTTTACTCCACCCCATTAAAATGCATTCTTGGTTTAGGATTTAAGTTTTAATAGTTTCCTTATAGCCTGCTAGGCGTCAATGCTAGCTCTGCTAGGCACAAATTGGGAGACTCGGTAAATATTATTTCAGGATTATTTTATTGTTAATTGCCTTGTCTATTTTAAAACACCAGCTATTGAAAGGCTAAAGGTAGAATTCAGTGTGAAGTGCTTAACATAGAGCAACAGACACCCCAAAAAGCAGTGATGAGATCTAAGTAATTTCTCTTTTCTAGTGAGTCGTGGGAGTAGTTGCCAGAAGTTAAAAAGATGGTTAGAAAGGTAAACTTGTCCTGAGATGATTCACCTAAGAGGTAGGAGTGACCCTAGCAAGGGGCCACTGCTGGGATCCTTCCAGGCACCCCCTTGCCTCCTCCATCCAGCCATGGCAAAGTAAAAAGCATGGCCAGCTCAGGAGACCAGAATCATAAGTTCACTCATTTTACATTAAACAAACAAACAAACAAACAAACAAACAAACAAATAAATAAATAAATATTAATCAGTTTCAACTAGTGCCAGGCACTGTGCTAGGGGATGTAACTATAATAATGAATGTGAGTAAAATTGTAACATTTCCAGAGTATCTCGCCTGGCTTTAGTGCATTTTCACATCCTCAGAGGGGGAGAGAAGTTCATCTCCATATCAATGTGTAATTTACATGGACAACGGAGGGCGGGTCTGAACCTGAGAGTTTTAAGGGAGGGGCTTGCTTGCTTGTTTGCTTGCTTCTTCAGGAGCAGAGCCGAGAGCGACGGCCCTGGACTGAAGTTTGTACACAATAAAGGGGTTTTAAACTTTATTTCTCCCTTTGACTGATTTCGGTTTTTAGAGGTATTTTGCCCCAGGATTTCCTCTCACCAGACTGAAAATGAATAAGACAAGGTCTTTTCATTCATGGACTTTATGATCCCAAGAAGGACGGGGGTAAGGTATACCATAATTTATAGTTATTTTCCCAAGACTATTTCCCCACCTTCAAAAGGTAGGATAGCTTCCAGGCTCCATTTGATGTTTACGGCCTGTTAATTTTAGCATTTGATTGAAGCTCATAATATAGCAAAAGCTACTTGCTTTAAAGTCTGCACATGGCTGACCATATGAATATTCTGGCTTTCGTTTGCAAAGAGGGTACAATTAGCACAGTTGAGTAGAACGGTTTTCAATACACTAGCTGGCTTTGTAATGCATCGCGACCTCCTTCTTTGCCTCTGACCTCTGATTAACGGCTACACCTAATTTCTAAAGGCCCAAGACGATTAGGCACCTGGCATTTCTAAAAGGTGTTTGAAGGACTTCTATTGCCCAAATCATGTATGTACTATCGGGCGTGGGTTAGGGGTGCAGAAAAGTTGGTTTCGGTTTAGCAAGGCAGCAAGTTTCGGAGGAGGTCAGGGGCGTCACTCTACGTTAACATTTTAGTCCAAAGAACTGAATCAAAGAGAAGGCAGTGGTGCCCTGACCACGTAGAGTCCGAGCAGGTTTTAAGGCAGTGCTCCGTCCTCCATAGGGAGCCCGCAGCTCCCTACGGAGCGCACACTTTTACCGCCTTCTGGTCCCCGAGCAGCGATCCAGTCCGCGGTCGCAAGCGGCAGCGCCCAAACCTGCGACCTAGCAAGGCCGCCGCCAGGAATCACCGCACCGCGCAGGCCGCGGAGTCCAGCTGCTCTCCCGCCCGCGGACCGCGCCGATGACGTCATCGCACAGGGCGGGGCGGGGCAGAAGCGGGGCCAGTCGCGCGGTTGAATGGGGCGCCCCGACAAGCCGCGCATTCCAGCGGGCCCACGTGACGCCGCCGCACGGCCGGAGGTAAACAACCGCGGCCCCGCCTCCCGGCCTCTCGGCGCGCCTGGCATTGCTCTTCGCCGGCGGTACGCGCTCCAGCGGGGCGGGCTGCTTCCTCTGAGAGTCCCCAGCGGCCACCGCGGGCCGGAGCCTCCGTAGCGGGCACGGCGCCCGGGGTCTGCCGGCCGAGCGCGCCGGCAGGGGTCGAGCGCGCGTCCCCTCCCTGCCCCCACAGCGCGCTGTGGCGCAGCAGGAATTTGGCGGGGACCCGGGCTCTATTTGCGGCTCTGGACGCGCTGGCGGCCGGTGGCCCTTCGGTCATTTCTATTCTAGGGGCACTGGGTCATCGCGCCCGGCCGGCGCCCCCCCGGGCCCGGAGGGTGTGTCCCCTTCGCTGGGGCTCGCCGCGCCTATAAGGGGCCGAGCGGCGGGCAGGGACATGCAGCTCTACAGCAGCGTCTGCACCCACTACCCAGCCGGCGGACCGGGGCCCACGACCGCAGCTTCCGCTCCTCCCGCCGCCGCCTCTGCCACCCCCGCCCCTTTCAAGGTCTCTCTGCAGCCGCCGGGACCCGCCAGCGGTTCGCCGGAGCCTGAGACCGGTGAGTGCCAGCCTGCCGCGGCAGCCGAGCCCAGGGAAGCCGCCGCCCCCGCCGCCAAGATGCCCGCCTTCTCCTCCTGCTTCGAGATGGTGTCCGGGGCCGCCGCTCCCGCCGCGGCCGCCGCCGGCCCGCCCGGGGGGTCCTGCAAGCCGCCGCTGCCGCCGCACTATACGTCTACGGCGCAGATCACCGTGAGGGCCCTGGGCGCCGACCGGCTGCTGCTGCACGGGCCTGAGCCTGGCGCTGCGGCGCCCGCCGCCTCGCGCGGCCGCTGCCTCCTGCTTTCCCCCGCTCCCGGCGCACCCGTCCCGCCGCGGCGGGGCTCCTCCGCCTGGCTCCTGGAGGAGCTGTTGCGGCCCGACTGCTCCGAGCCCGCGGGCCTGGACGCGGCCCTGGAGGGGCCCGACCGAAACTTCCGACTGAGCGAGCACCGCCAGGCCCTGGTGGCCGACAAGCACCGGGGCCGCGCGCCGCCCCCGGGGAGCGCGGAGCCCAGCCCCGGCCGGTGGGGCGAGGAGCACCCTGCGGAGAGGAGCTTGCGGGGCTGGGAGAGGGCCGTCGACCGCGGAGACCCTCCCGGCGCAAACGAGGCTCGACGGCCTGACCTGGAGGCCCAGGCGTCCCCGGCGCGGAGCAGCGAGGCCCTCCAGAACAGCGCGGCCCCGGCGGTGATCGTCTCCAGGTCGGAAGCCAGAGACGAGAAACTGGCCCTGTACCTGGCAGAGGTGGAGAGGCAGGACAAGTACCTGCGGCAGAGGAACAAGTACCGATTTCACATCATTCCCGACGGCAACTGCCTCTACCGAGCGGTCAGCAAGACGGTGTACGGGGACCAGAGCCTGCACCGGGAGCTAAGGGAGGAGACGGTGCACTATATCGCCGATCATCTGGACCACTTTAGCCCCCTGATTGAGGGCGACGTGGGGGAGTTTATCATCGCTGCTGCTCAAGACGGGGCATGGGCCGGGTACCCCGAGTTGCTGGCCATGGGGCAGATGCTGAATGTGAATATACACTTAACAACTGGAGGGAGGTTGGAGAGCCCCACAGTGTCTACCATGATTCACTATTTGGGCCCAGAGGATTCCCTAAGGCCTAGTATTTGGCTCAGTTGGCTCAGTAATGGACATTATGATGCCGTGTTTGATCACTCGTATCCTAATCCGGAGTATGACAACTGGTGCAAGCAGACTCAAGTGCAAAGAAAACGCGATGAAGAACTTGCCAAGTCCATGGCTATATCCCTGTCCAAAATGTATATTGAACAAAATGCATTCTCTTGAAGTGTTTCATGCCGCCAGTCAACTTTGGCGGGTAGTTTTTAGCAGAAGAATACTGTCTTAATATTCTGTTCCCTTTAAATTCATTCAAAAGGCAAAATAGGATTGCCCTGTATTATGTAAACAGTCTGTAAACAGAGTTTGTATGGTTTGCTGGGTCAAACGATGTTCCCAACCCAAAACTGATCTCATTTTCACTTTAACTACTTTAGGTCATATTTATTAAGTAATGCAGTTTGTACTTTTTTATTTTGTAACATTTTGTGATTTTTTTGTACAATACTGTATTTGTACAATAGAGCAATTCTCAGCTCGTGGAATGAATGAATAAATGCATAGTTTTACTTTTATAATGTCCGTTTGGCTAAAGTGGTTTTTAAATTGTAAAGTGACTTCTGCAGGAACATTTCTTACAACTTTAACTTTGTCCACGTGAAAAGGTGTCACAGAATTATGGGAATGGGTTTATAAATTCTCATGTGACATGGGATGATCATTAGTAATTTCAAACAATAAGTCTCAGTGAAATATAATTTTAAAAGTGGAGTAACTCAGGAAATTGTTCTCATTATTTCTAATTACAATTCCTGTCTAAAACTACAGAGGTACCTATTGGCTAATGATAAGGGAAGTGCAAGTATTGTGTTAACTAGCATGTCTAATTAAATATCATAGTTTTGTGTTTTACACACTCAACACAGATTTTAATGTTTTAAGAGTAACCAAAGCAGTGCTCTAATTTTTATCCAGTCAGGCCTCAATTTTAAGATGTGTTACCAGATTTTGTTCAGAAGGGCTCTTGTATATGTAATGCTGGGCATGTTTATTGCAGAATAAAAACAGCTAGTTTGGACTTTTTTACTCTTCAGTTGATTGTGTAGACATCATGGTTATAGACACACCTATCTGAGCTTGAGTTGATTGCTTAACCACATACTTGGAAGGATGGCATTGGTTATCAAGGAAAGACAATTTGCCAAAGCTGTAAGGGCTCCTCTGTGTTTCATTTTCAAATTAACGTCCCAAGTCCTTAATTTAGATTCACAAGGGTGATATGTTTAACTAAAATTAAATGGATCCTAAGGGTGTATGACATGCAGCATGTTTTTTCAATTGTCTTGCCAAAAGGTTTGATTATGTCTTTCTCATCCTCTTCCTGTGGCTTAGATTTTTGAAAAAGAAATGTAGGATTTATCACTCTTAGCTTCAGTATTCTCTACTGCCATGCCAGTTTTATATATTAGCACTAGTACAGTTCTGGGTTACTGGAGACTTGAGCAGTTGAAGAGCTGGAAATGTGGTTAAGTCTTACTTACAGTAAACAGATTTATTCAACAATTCCATCAGTTACTCTTGAAGCTAAGAAGCTCAAAACTGTCAATGTTGTGAGCTAAAATTTCTTTAGAGGTCACTCCTCCATAGAATGATGGGGGGAAGATAAAATCTAAGTACAACTGTGGTGTTTTTAGGTAAATTAGTATGAAAATCATACTATTAACTTGAAAATTTTATTAAAGTGGTACATAGATTAAAACTATGATACAAATAACTAATAGTGTGATTTGTTTGATTACTGTTTCATTTAAAACTAAAATGGCAGAATGCTTCAACTTTATGGCAAAAAATGCAATTCTTGAACCTTTTCATTTTCCAGTCATTTTTTTTCTCTTAAGATAAACTCATTTTAGTATACTTAACCTGACTGAGTAATAAACCACTACGGATAAGGGGCACAAACCATGTACATGTGATTCTATAATTTCATTTTTCTAAACTTGGAATCCATGTCCTTTATATGACAAAATTTTCATGAGGCACAAAGCCTTTTCTTAGAAACTACAGTCTGTGGAGGAGAGGAAATGCCTTGGGGTTCCTTGACATCAGCATTGGTCAGCCTCAGCCAGGGTAAATAGTCCCATGTTGCAATGTTTTCTTCCTAATCTTTGTACTGAAAGAAGATCTTGAGGTAATCTCACTACTTCAATAAAATTTATTTTATGTATTTTTCTTCTTTCCCTAAGGTAAGTTAAACCATAAAATTTTACCTTAGTACTCAATGTGCTCATATGAAGGAAAAGCATTAGAGAATGAAAATAGAATATAAACTTTTGGACATATAATTTAATATGTAGGTAAATGTACTGGTAATTAAAGGATTTATACTTAAGATGCAGTAACATGTTCGCATTTAACAGTTTCACATGAAATCATAAGTCCAGACCTTGTCTTTCTTTTTTTGCATTCCTGGAGTGTCTATAACTCAGAGGTACTGAGAAGCTAGATGGTATTCCGTTCCATTCCATTCCCCAAATGCACTGTATTATATTCCCTATTGAATCCTTGGGTTCCAACCCTGTACCTAGCAGAATAAGTACTCAGTAAATATTTGTTGATTGAAGGAAGGAATTGAAGGGAAATGGGAGCTTTGAAGAACATTTGTTGGAGGATGTGAAATTGAAATAAAAATGACCTGACTTTAAAATTACTGGGAATTCTCACAATAATTCTGAGCATTTTAAACTGAAGTAGGGTTATAAAAAGATTCTAAAGGATTGAGTTCTATCATGGAAAAAATATGCTTTGAAACCAAAACTTATTAATGTTTTTACCTTTGTGTCATCTAAACATCCTGAGAAGTGAACTAAGAAAAATTTTTTTAAATAGGTCTTCCATTAGTCTGAAGCGATATTGCAGGGGTTGCCTTGTGTGTGCATAGGAACTTGCTCTGACTTGGCTTTAGGACCACCCCAAGTCCAGTCTATAGCAATTCCTACTTTTGTGAGGTTTTCTTTCTACAGCCTGGTTGTGAAGGAAATGTTGAACAGATTTCCAGTATGCTTTAGGACTGCTGTGTTCAATAGTGCTGGCTGCATGCTCATAAGTCAATGGGCCCTGGGCAAGAAGTATGGATCAGACTAGAATAGATCTATGGGGGAAAAAATCAGTGTATTCCTCCTACTATTAACTAGGTCAGTGACAGTTTGTCTATGAGTAAAGGTCACAAAGCTAACTCCCTGTCAATGGATTACTCCTAGTAAAATTTTAGCCTAGTTTCTCACAAGTGAATATTCTAAATAATTGAATGGTTCATATATGAGTAAAATGTAAAGTAACTGCTTTTGATAAAATTCTGTAATCTGTGGCACACTTAATTTGCCTTTGTAAGATAACTGAATATACTTTAGTCTTCCCTTAATGATTTAGGGCTCTCATGAAGGCATGACTATATGGCTGTGAAGCCTTGACAATTGCTGAGGTGTGACAGTACCTTTGTCCTTCAAAGGGTCCTTGAATGCTGGGACTTTTAATCTTTGTGTTTTATACTTTCCTGTCTCCTCACCTTCTGGTTGTTCCTCTCACCATTGTCACTTCCCAGCCCTAATTCCCCATCATGATTTCCTATGACACTAACACACATGCTTGTCAACATTGACTAAGATAATAGGAAATGAGTTTCTGATTCAAGATTGGGATGCTCGGCTATGAGTAATGTGCTCAAACTTCAGATTTTGGTTAACCAGAGTGCCTCATTCATCTTTGTCTTCTTTTTTGCGTTCTTTGGTGGTATCCTAGAAATGTTGAATTTGTCTGATTAAAGGACCTCTGCGTTTGCGCACTGGCATATTAAAACAAAACAGGTTGGGTCAGCTATACTAAACCTCAGATGCAATCCTTTATAGTATGTGCCTTGCTCTCACCTTCCTCTTGCTTATGTACACTTGTATTTAAAGTTTTCCAGGCCACCAAAATATACTCATTATAAAGTAATTCAAATATCAGGTTGTAAGTCCAGGGAAAGGAAATCCTGGGGCAAAATATGTCTAAAACTGAAATCAGTCAAAGGGAGAAATTAAGTTTAAAATCTGTTTATTGCTTACAAACTGGTCTGGGGCCTTCTCTCTTTCCTGCTCCAGCAGAAGCAAAACCGGCCCTCCCCCTCACCTCTCAGGTACAGATAAGCCCTCTGTTGCCCAGGTAATTACCCATTGATATGGAGAACTTCTCTCCACCCCTGAGGAATGATGCAAATGAACTAAAGTCATACTTCTTTTCACCTCTGAACACCTACTGATACGCAGATGTACTAAAACCAGGTAAGATATTCTGGAAATGTTACAATTTTACCCACACAGGTTTTTGATGAAGACTCCAAATCACAGCATACATACACAAGTCTACTACAAATGTTCTTTAGTATATCAGAAATATCTTGAAAATCTGGCCTTCACACAAGCCCTGCGTTTCTTAAGAAGGAACAATATATAAAATGTTGTCCTAGTGACTGCTCACTTTTGAATTTCCTCTCCCTAGTAGTTCCTTAATGAATTTGTATTAATTGTGTTTACATTGGGTAAATAAGTTAGTCTTCCTCAACCTAGCCTTCCCTTTTCTAGAAAAAAATGTACTTTTTGCTCCTGTTGATTAAAATGGTTGATAGATTGAATAGACACCCTGCATTAATTTGCTGACAATTAGAACTTAGACAATGACAAAAAACATTCCAGTGGGATATGTGCATTTAATACTTTAAAGCAGTTAAAGTAAAACCCTCTCACCTCCCACCTCCCACCTCCCTGCGGCAACATTTTATACTTTGACCTGGGACGGTTTTAGCAAGTGCTGATGCCAAGGAGGTTGGCCATGTACAGAGAGGAGCCCCACTGATGCATGCTTGCAGGATGATTGAGTCTAAAGAATGTTCCACTTAGATTAGAAGTTTTCTGAATGATTTTAACAATGGACTATGTGGTTGTATTTCCTAGCTTATCAAGGTACGGAAAGGTGATGTGCAAAACAGTTAATTGTGAAGGGAATTTATACCCATGTGTCATGTAACACTTGTGCAGCCAATTTGTAAAATAAACTCAAATAAGGCTTTCAGCTCTAATGACAAACAGGAAACATTCACACTTCTTGTTTCTTACGGTGAAATTTGAGCTGTACTAGTGAAGTAATAGGAGTGAAAAGTGGAAGAGTACAATCAGGAAATTCTTAGTTAGCTTTCACTTGCCTGCCTTTGCCATCTGGGTGAAAAATGCCAGACGTAGGGGAGTAAACAGTTACCTTCTTTTACTTTAAACAATGCACATGTCTCAATAAACAGTAGGTGCCTAAAACAGAAACCTCAGGAATTGGTCATATAGAATTTTAGGACAAGGAAGAGAGAGATTTAAGGTGTATGTGGCACTTTTCAATACAAAGTAGTTCTCTGACAGATTTTTCATTACTTTTTCATTTTATTGATAGTGGCTGCTGGCAGAAGTCAGTACTACTCAGAAGAATTGTGGCAATTTGCAGTGATGGCTGTTCTGATTTACAAGGCCACTTGACCCTACTGGAATACACAACATTATTTTAATAGTTAAGCTAAGCTGCTGTGACCAGAAGCAGTTTATTTCTCTTTCACTTAACTGTTCCAGAGGGAGCAGTCCAGATTGGCGGGCCCAGCTGTGCCCCACACAGCCATTCCTGGTACACTGTTGCTGTGGGCATGATCTAAGCTGGGCCACCATGTCTGGACTGTAGCTGATAGGAAGGGCACACACCCTGAGGTGGAGCGTGTCACTTCTGCTCTGGTCTGTTGGCTCCAATTCTGTCACGTGGCTTCAGCTCCCTGGGAACAGCCAGACTGTTCCCAAGAAGAAGGATAAATGGATTTTAGCAGAAAAATGACAATCTTTTCAAAGCTTTATCAGAACTAGTTTAGGATTAAAATACTCTTTAAGAAGAAAATCGTAAGATTGAAGTATCTGGGAATAAAGTGAATGAAATGTACATTAACTTGTTTCACATGACGTGGATATAAAAGCAGGATCAATAGTTGTCATAACTCAGGGTTCCTTATCAGCTCCTCAACAATGGATTTGCCACAGCTTAAATGTATACACATGCAAAGCCTTCCAGGTTTTGAGAAGGCTGTTGTTTTTCTATTTCCTTTCCATTCTCAATTGTTCTTTAGTATATCAGAAATATCTTGAAAATCTGGCCTTCAACACAGGTCCTGGTTTCCTTCAGAAGGAACAATATAGAAAACATTGTCCTTTTAAGGGTTTTTACCGGTCTTGCTTTTTTAGGATATTAATTGGTTTTGCTTTTCCATCTTTCTCTATTTTTAGTTATTTTTCTTTTACATTGCCCTGCTTGGTTTTCTTTTAGAATAGTTTTGTGTGGTCTACTTGGGTAAAATTAAGTGGTCTTTACTAATTATTACACATCTACTAAGTATTTAAAAGAAAGTAACTAAACCTTATCCCACCCCTAAACAAGGAAAAAAAAAACCCACCTAAAAACAAAGAACCCTTAGTGAGTACTTCTGGGCCAGAGGCTCCATATAAGGGTCATATTTAGAACTGAAGGACGAGGCTTACCCTCAGAAGTTAAGGTTAATAAGGATCATTATATGTGGTCAGCCGACTGTAAAGCTAGCCCTCTCCAAGAGATGGTCACAAGTCCTTGTTGAGGAGAAGGGGCTTCTGCCAGTTCTGTCAGGGCAGCTATGAGCATATCCTTAGCAGGAGTGAATCAAAAGCAAATGGTGATGTAAAGTACTTTTAACTGATCAAGTAGCTGTATCCATATTACCTTTCCATCTGTCTGTCTCATCTTTTGAAGGAATGTATTGTCACAGGAGAAGGGTGGTGGTCTATATGTTGCCTAGAGAAAAGAGACCAAAGAACAACCCATTGGCCAGTGTGTCCCTACTTTTTGAAAAGGTGCCTCAGGCAAGACACAATAATATGCTGAATAGGTAAGAAAAATAAAGGGAAGTACTTCTTGGAAATAAGAAGTAAATATTCATTCAACAACTATCAGCTGCTTGGAGAGTAATAGGCACAGTGCTAAGTACTATGTAAATGCACAGGCTACATGGTAGTCAATCTTGAGTAAGGGAGCCTATGGTAATCATTTCTTTCACAAAGTATTTTGCTTATGAGAAAGGGCTCTGGAGTCAGGTTGGTTGGGGTTAACTCAAGGCTGAACTAACTACTCACTGTAAACATGACCTTCGGTTAGTTAATGTCTTAAACCCTGCTTAACGTGTAAAACAGAAATAGTGTGTTTGTTTCAAAGGTTGAGTGAAGATTAAATTAGAAATAATATATAATGTATGTATCTTAAGCACAGAGTTAGCTTTCAGTAAATGTTACTTCCGTAATTATTACCTTTAGAATCATCGGACTAGTGAGTTTATGTGCACTGGACCTGGCTTATGGCTTTGTTTTCAGGTTTAGTCCTGATTTTCTATTTTTTGCTTGCTCTAATTTATTTTTTAGTATTGATTGCTAGACTGATATTGTTTTTCATTACTATTTATGAACAGATTTTTGCTTTTCATACCCATGCAAATATTTTAATATTTTTGCATTGGCATATTTAATATCAAAATTGTATTTTAAAACTTGAAAATTATAAGTGCTTTTGTAAATAGTGATTCTTGTGTTGCTTCCATTTGGACATTTATTTATATTTTCCTTTAGTCAGTACTTGATAGCTTAAATTTGTCTAAAATATCAAAACCATATTTGACATGGACAAATTTTTTTTGAATGGAGAGTTTTAGTGGAATTTTGATCATGATATATGTGCTTAAGAATTATGGGATTCTTCCCTTTGATACTATATTCAAATTTGATTGCTTCATTTTTAGAATAATGTCTTATTCACCAAATTTGATCTTACACTTGGGGCACCATTTTGAATTTTCCAGATTCATGAATCTTAATTTTCTTCCTTACCACCTTTTGTGAAGGAAGGAAAAATTAGGGGTTATCTGTTTTCTAAAGATGAAGTTGAAACAAAGAGAAGTCTGCTTTTCATCCCCTGTGATACTATTGTTGGGACTAGTACCCAGGCCTCTTTATTTGAAACCGGGTAGTTGTAGGTTACAGCATGTGTGTTTTTCTCCATGGACTGGTAGTGGCTGCCAGGAGCCCTGTACTGAATAAGAACTGTGCCTTGGCTTGGTAGGAGAGTCCATAGTCCATGGGAGCAGAAGGAAGTGTCAACCCATGTGACAGATATTTTCTCTTTGTATATTAGATCATGTTGTCTGCATGGCTTTTTCTGTGCATGTTTTGCAGAGTTGAGGAGAGCTTTATAACAATTTTCTGTGAAAATTCAGCTTTGTTTAATTTTATAATTCTTAGAAAAGAATGAATATCCATGCTTCAAATTTCACTGTTACAAAGAAGCATACAACGAAACTCTTGGTATTAAGAAATCATAGTTTTCAGGGCAGTGGAAAGCCTCATAGATGGGTCTCATTAGTTTCGTCAGGGAATGGATGTGTGTGTGTGTGTGTGTGTGTGTGTGTGTGTGTNTGGCGCTGCGGCGCCCGCCGCCTCGCGCGGCCGCTGCCTCCTGCTTTCCCCCGCTCCCGGCGCACCCGTCCCGCCGCGGCGGGGCTCCTCCGCCTGGCTCCTGGAGGAGCTGTTGCGGCCCGACTGCTCCGAGCCCGCGGGCCTGGACGCGGCCCTGGAGGGGCCCGACCGAAACTTCCGACTGAGCGAGCACCGCCAGGCCCTGGTGGCCGACAAGCACCGGGGCCGCGCGCCGCCCCCGGGGAGCGCGGAGCCCAGCCCCGGCCGGTGGGGCGAGGAGCACCCTGCGGAGAGGAGCTTGCGGGGCTGGGAGAGGGCCGTCGACCGCGGAGACCCTCCCGGCGCAAACGAGGCTCGACGGCCTGACCTGGAGGCCCAGGCGTCCCCGGCGCGGAGCAGCGAGGCCCTCCAGAACAGCGCGGCCCCGGCGGTGATCGTCTCCAGGTCGGAAGCCAGAGACGAGAAACTGGCCCTGTACCTGGCAGAGGTGGAGAGGCAGGACAAGTACCTGCGGCAGAGGAACAAGTACCGATTTCACATCATTCCCGACGGCAACTGCCTCTACCGAGCGGTCAGCAAGACGGTGTACGGGGACCAGAGCCTGCACCGGGAGCTAAGGGAGGAGACGGTGCACTATATCGCCGATCATCTGGACCACTTTAGCCCCCTGATTGAGGGCGACGTGGGGGAGTTTATCATCGCTGCTGCTCAAGACGGGGCATGGGCCGGGTACCCCGAGTTGCTGGCCATGGGGCAGATGCTGAATGTGAATATACACTTAACAACTGGAGGGAGGTTGGAGAGCCCCACAGTGTCTACCATGATTCACTATTTGGGCCCAGAGGATTCCCTAAGGCCTAGTATTTGGCTCAGTTGGCTCAGTAATGGACATTATGATGCCGTGTTTGATCACTCGTATCCTAATCCGGAGTATGACAACTGGTGCAAGCAGACTCAAGTGCAAAGAAAACGCGATGAAGAACTTGCCAAGTCCATGGCTATATCCCTGTCCAAAATGTATATTGAACAAAATGCATTCTCTTGAAGTGTTTCATGCCGCCAGTCAACTTTGGCGGGTAGTTTTTAGCAGAAGAATACTGTCTTAATATTCTGTTCCCTTTAAATTCATTCAAAAGGCAAAATAGGATTGCCCTGTATTATGTAAACAGTCTGTAAACAGAGTTTGTATGGTTTGCTGGGTCAAACGATGTTCCCAACCCAAAACTGATCTCATTTTCACTTTAACTACTTTAGGTCATATTTATTAAGTAATGCAGTTTGTACTTTTTTATTTTGTAACATTTTGTGATTTTTTTGTACAATACTGTATTTGTACAATAGAGCAATTCTCAGCTCGTGGAATGAATGAATAAATGCATAGTTTTACTTTTATAATGTCCGTTTGGCTAAAGTGGTTTTTAAATTGTAAAGTGACTTCTGCAGGAACATTTCTTACAACTTTAACTTTGTCCACGTGAAAAGGTGTCACAGAATTATGGGAATGGGTTTATAAATTCTCATGTGACATGGGATGATCATTAGTAATTTCAAACAATAAGTCTCAGTGAAATATAATTTTAAAAGTGGAGTAACTCAGGAAATTGTTCTCATTATTTCTAATTACAATTCCTGTCTAAAACTACAGAGGTACCTATTGGCTAATGATAAGGGAAGTGCAAGTATTGTGTTAACTAGCATGTCTAATTAAATATCATAGTTTTGTGTTTTACACACTCAACACAGATTTTAATGTTTTAAGAGTAACCAAAGCAGTGCTCTAATTTTTATCCAGTCAGGCCTCAATTTTAAGATGTGTTACCAGATTTTGTTCAGAAGGGCTCTTGTATATGTAATGCTGGGCATGTTTATTGCAGAATAAAAACAGCTAGTTTGGACTTTTTTACTCTTCAGTTGATTGTGTAGACATCATGGTTATAGACACACCTATCTGAGCTTGAGTTGATTGCTTAACCACATACTTGGAAGGATGGCATTGGTTATCAAGGAAAGACAATTTGCCAAAGCTGTAAGGGCTCCTCTGTGTTTCATTTTCAAATTAACGTCCCAAGTCCTTAATTTAGATTCACAAGGGTGATATGTTTAACTAAAATTAAATGGATCCTAAGGGTGTATGACATGCAGCATGTTTTTTCAATTGTCTTGCCAAAAGGTTTGATTATGTCTTTCTCATCCTCTTCCTGTGGCTTAGATTTTTGAAAAAGAAATGTAGGATTTATCACTCTTAGCTTCAGTATTCTCTACTGCCATGCCAGTTTTATATATTAGCACTAGTACAGTTCTGGGTTACTGGAGACTTGAGCAGTTGAAGAGCTGGAAATGTGGTTAAGTCTTACTTACAGTAAACAGATTTATTCAACAATTCCATCAGTTACTCTTGAAGCTAAGAAGCTCAAAACTGTCAATGTTGTGAGCTAAAATTTCTTTAGAGGTCACTCCTCCATAGAATGATGGGGGGAAGATAAAATCTAAGTACAACTGTGGTGTTTTTAGGTAAATTAGTATGAAAATCATACTATTAACTTGAAAATTTTATTAAAGTGGTACATAGATTAAAACTATGATACAAATAACTAATAGTGTGATTTGTTTGATTACTGTTTCATTTAAAACTAAAATGGCAGAATGCTTCAACTTTATGGCAAAAAATGCAATTCTTGAACCTTTTCATTTTCCAGTCATTTTTTTTCTCTTAAGATAAACTCATTTTAGTATACTTAACCTGACTGAGTAATAAACCACTACGGATAAGGGGCACAAACCATGTACATGTGATTCTATAATTTCATTTTTCTAAACTTGGAATCCATGTCCTTTATATGACAAAATTTTCATGAGGCACAAAGCCTTTTCTTAGAAACTACAGTCTGTGGAGGAGAGGAAATGCCTTGGGGTTCCTTGACATCAGCATTGGTCAGCCTCAGCCAGGGTAAATAGTCCCATGTTGCAATGTTTTCTTCCTAATCTTTGTACTGAAAGAAGATCTTGAGGTAATCTCACTACTTCAATAAAATTTATTTTATGTATTTTTCTTCTTTCCCTAAGGTAAGTTAAACCATAAAATTTTACCTTAGTACTCAATGTGCTCATATGAAGGAAAAGCATTAGAGAATGAAAATAGAATATAAACTTTTGGACATATAATTTAATATGTAGGTAAATGTACTGGTAATTAAAGGATTTATACTTAAGATGCAGTAACATGTTCGCATTTAACAGTTTCACATGAAATCATAAGTCCAGACCTTGTCTTTCTTTTTTTGCATTCCTGGAGTGTCTATAACTCAGAGGTACTGAGAAGCTAGATGGTATTCCGTTCCATTCCATTCCCCAAATGCACTGTATTATATTCCCTATTGAATCCTTGGGTTCCAACCCTGTACCTAGCAGAATAAGTACTCAGTAAATATTTGTTGATTGAAGGAAGGAATTGAAGGGAAATGGGAGCTTTGAAGAACATTTGTTGGAGGATGTGAAATTGAAATAAAAATGACCTGACTTTAAAATTACTGGGAATTCTCACAATAATTCTGAGCATTTTAAACTGAAGTAGGGTTATAAAAAGATTCTAAAGGATTGAGTTCTATCATGGAAAAAATATGCTTTGAAACCAAAACTTATTAATGTTTTTACCTTTGTGTCATCTAAACATCCTGAGAAGTGAACTAAGAAAAATTTTTTTAAATAGGTCTTCCATTAGTCTGAAGCGATATTGCAGGGGTTGCCTTGTGTGTGCATAGGAACTTGCTCTGACTTGGCTTTAGGACCACCCCAAGTCCAGTCTATAGCAATTCCTACTTTTGTGAGGTTTTCTTTCTACAGCCTGGTTGTGAAGGAAATGTTGAACAGATTTCCAGTATGCTTTAGGACTGCTGTGTTCAATAGTGCTGGCTGCATGCTCATAAGTCAATGGGCCCTGGGCAAGAAGTATGGATCAGACTAGAATAGATCTATGGGGGAAAAAATCAGTGTATTCCTCCTACTATTAACTAGGTCAGTGACAGTTTGTCTATGAGTAAAGGTCACAAAGCTAACTCCCTGTCAATGGATTACTCCTAGTAAAATTTTAGCCTAGTTTCTCACAAGTGAATATTCTAAATAATTGAATGGTTCATATATGAGTAAAATGTAAAGTAACTGCTTTTGATAAAATTCTGTAATCTGTGGCACACTTAATTTGCCTTTGTAAGATAACTGAATATACTTTAGTCTTCCCTTAATGATTTAGGGCTCTCATGAAGGCATGACTATATGGCTGTGAAGCCTTGACAATTGCTGAGGTGTGACAGTACCTTTGTCCTTCAAAGGGTCCTTGAATGCTGGGACTTTTAATCTTTGTGTTTTATACTTTCCTGTCTCCTCACCTTCTGGTTGTTCCTCTCACCATTGTCACTTCCCAGCCCTAATTCCCCATCATGATTTCCTATGACACTAACACACATGCTTGTCAACATTGACTAAGATAATAGGAAATGAGTTTCTGATTCAAGATTGGGATGCTCGGCTATGAGTAATGTGCTCAAACTTCAGATTTTGGTTAACCAGAGTGCCTCATTCATCTTTGTCTTCTTTTTTGCGTTCTTTGGTGGTATCCTAGAAATGTTGAATTTGTCTGATTAAAGGACCTCTGCGTTTGCGCACTGGCATATTAAAACAAAACAGGTTGGGTCAGCTATACTAAACCTCAGATGCAATCCTTTATAGTATGTGCCTTGCTCTCACCTTCCTCTTGCTTATGTACACTTGTATTTAAAGTTTTCCAGGCCACCAAAATATACTCATTATAAAGTAATTCAAATATCAGGTTGTAAGTCCAGGGAAAGGAAATCCTGGGGCAAAATATGTCTAAAACTGAAATCAGTCAAAGGGAGAAATTAAGTTTAAAATCTGTTTATTGCTTACAAACTGGTCTGGGGCCTTCTCTCTTTCCTGCTCCAGCAGAAGCAAAACCGGCCCTCCCCCTCACCTCTCAGGTACAGATAAGCCCTCTGTTGCCCAGGTAATTACCCATTGATATGGAGAACTTCTCTCCACCCCTGAGGAATGATGCAAATGAACTAAAGTCATACTTCTTTTCACCTCTGAACACCTACTGATACGCAGATGTACTAAAACCAGGTAAGATATTCTGGAAATGTTACAATTTTACCCACACAGGTTTTTGATGAAGACTCCAAATCACAGCATACATACACAAGTCTACTACAAATGTTCTTTAGTATATCAGAAATATCTTGAAAATCTGGCCTTCACACAAGCCCTGCGTTTCTTAAGAAGGAACAATATATAAAATGTTGTCCTAGTGACTGCTCACTTTTGAATTTCCTCTCCCTAGTAGTTCCTTAATGAATTTGTATTAATTGTGTTTACATTGGGTAAATAAGTTAGTCTTCCTCAACCTAGCCTTCCCTTTTCTAGAAAAAAATGTACTTTTTGCTCCTGTTGATTAAAATGGTTGATAGATTGAATAGACACCCTGCATTAATTTGCTGACAATTAGAACTTAGACAATGACAAAAAACATTCCAGTGGGATATGTGCATTTAATACTTTAAAGCAGTTAAAGTAAAACCCTCTCACCTCCCACCTCCCACCTCCCTGCGGCAACATTTTATACTTTGACCTGGGACGGTTTTAGCAAGTGCTGATGCCAAGGAGGTTGGCCATGTACAGAGAGGAGCCCCACTGATGCATGCTTGCAGGATGATTGAGTCTAAAGAATGTTCCACTTAGATTAGAAGTTTTCTGAATGATTTTAACAATGGACTATGTGGTTGTATTTCCTAGCTTATCAAGGTACGGAAAGGTGATGTGCAAAACAGTTAATTGTGAAGGGAATTTATACCCATGTGTCATGTAACACTTGTGCAGCCAATTTGTAAAATAAACTCAAATAAGGCTTTCAGCTCTAATGACAAACAGGAAACATTCACACTTCTTGTTTCTTACGGTGAAATTTGAGCTGTACTAGTGAAGTAATAGGAGTGAAAAGTGGAAGAGTACAATCAGGAAATTCTTAGTTAGCTTTCACTTGCCTGCCTTTGCCATCTGGGTGAAAAATGCCAGACGTAGGGGAGTAAACAGTTACCTTCTTTTACTTTAAACAATGCACATGTCTCAATAAACAGTAGGTGCCTAAAACAGAAACCTCAGGAATTGGTCATATAGAATTTTAGGACAAGGAAGAGAGAGATTTAAGGTGTATGTGGCACTTTTCAATACAAAGTAGTTCTCTGACAGATTTTTCATTACTTTTTCATTTTATTGATAGTGGCTGCTGGCAGAAGTCAGTACTACTCAGAAGAATTGTGGCAATTTGCAGTGATGGCTGTTCTGATTTACAAGGCCACTTGACCCTACTGGAATACACAACATTATTTTAATAGTTAAGCTAAGCTGCTGTGACCAGAAGCAGTTTATTTCTCTTTCACTTAACTGTTCCAGAGGGAGCAGTCCAGATTGGCGGGCCCAGCTGTGCCCCACACAGCCATTCCTGGTACACTGTTGCTGTGGGCATGATCTAAGCTGGGCCACCATGTCTGGACTGTAGCTGATAGGAAGGGCACACACCCTGAGGTGGAGCGTGTCACTTCTGCTCTGGTCTGTTGGCTCCAATTCTGTCACGTGGCTTCAGCTCCCTGGGAACAGCCAGACTGTTCCCAAGAAGAAGGATAAATGGATTTTAGCAGAAAAATGACAATCTTTTCAAAGCTTTATCAGAACTAGTTTAGGATTAAAATACTCTTTAAGAAGAAAATCGTAAGATTGAAGTATCTGGGAATAAAGTGAATGAAATGTACATTAACTTGTTTCACATGACGTGGATATAAAAGCAGGATCAATAGTTGTCATAACTCAGGGTTCCTTATCAGCTCCT